TGGGGGTGGTCTATAAATTTGGCACAGGTGCCTAGGAATTTGAATGTTTACTCAAGCAAGGCAGGGCGGGCATTTAAAGATGTTGCTATAGCTTCTCTCTCTCTCTCTCTCCTCCATCCAATCATGCATTTAAATTTGGGTCCTACAACCCATGCTGAGCCTTGATCCAGGCACTCTTTGCAATTTTAAAATGGTTTCTACTAATTAGCCTAACTCAATCAGGAGCATCGAGTAGGGAGCGATGATATCTGTGACTGTATAAAATTGAATTATGCTGAAATAGTTTGCAAGCTTGAAAACCACATGTAATGTCTTCATCGGGCTTAGGGGAATCTATGCAAACTAGAAAACAAATAGACTCGTTTTTATGCACTTTTAAAAGCAATTGATTTTGTATTAATATATATTGTTGGTCACTCTGTGGATGCATTACAGGATAATTTTTCAACACTGCATTATATTCTAGATGTACTATAACAAATTAAGTAAATTCCTGTTTTGCCCACTAGGTTATGCCTCATATAATTTAAGAAATGGAAGTCAGTTCTTGCAGATATCTGTATGCAGTTCTTCTTGAATATGGCAATGTGAAACAGTACATGAACATAAGTGATGTACCTCATATTTTTAATAGCTATTATTGAGTATTTTAGTATCTAAGGAAAACACTTGTACCATTGCTGCCTTACACATGCATGAACACAATAGCCTAGCTCAGACACAATGATTTCAGTCTGACAAGCCATGGTTTATTGGACCAAGAACAATACTTGTTCTTGTCTGCTCTGATTACTTGCCTCACTCTTTCTTCCCTCCCCTCACATGACCACCTTCAAGGAACATGCTATGTTAAAAAATATTTCCTTTGACTACTGACTGAATTTCAGTTTGATATTAGGGCTTCTCCACAAGTGATAGTTTCCCAGTATGGATGTCACCAGAAACTGTGGTTTAACAGCAAAGTGTCTTGCTCAGCATGCTAGGGCCTTTCTGATACCCAGGGTGTTCAGCTGCTATGTTCAATGAGTACATAATATGTTTCTGTGTACACAATATTTAGGCTGTACAAATCAGCAGGTGTATACTCTTTCACACAAACCCTTGTACATGTGTAGAGATGGCTCGTGCTTTTGTTCAGTGTAACATGTGAAGTAGCCTATGGAGTAGCTAATACAGTTCAGTGTTGAGCAAAACAAATCTGCTAAAAGGGGCTTCTTCTGCCTACAGAAAATGCAAAAGAGACAGAGACCGTCTGTAGGCAGCTATTAACAGTCCTTTGCTACCCTTAATATATCTGCTGGTTATACGTACTGTATGTTTCTCCAGCCATCTGATATATGCTTGTTCACCACTTGGGTACAGCTCCCTGGATTTCTCCTTTCTCCTCCGTGGGATTTATGCACTCCCAACGCTGATGCTTGCAAAACACTCCATTCAATTGTATATTTGACTGAGTCGCTGGTGGCAAGATGGAAAGCTGGTCAAATAGTGGGCAACTGGCACACAGTCTGCATCCTAACATGCCTGGCAGATTGTCAGCGGCAGCAGCAGCATCAACAAGTTGCATTTCCCTCTGTGGCATCTAACTGCAAGGAGCATCCCCAAACCCCTCTGCCTGCCTGCCTGCCTGCCTGCCTGCCTGTGTGAGAGGGTGAGTGAGAGGGAAGGAGGGTGGGTGGCAGGAAGGAGCTCGGAGCTACAGGGAGAAATAAACAAACATCCAATCCACGACACTGACAAGAGTCTGCTTCCTTTCTCCGTTTCAAAGCCGCTGACCCAAGACCTCAGCCTGGCCAAAGGCTCTGCGTCCCCCGACACACTTCCCTCTCTCTCCCCGTGCCCTGCATTGGGGTACATCTGGAAGTAAGGGAGGGCACAGCAAGGGGCACCAAAGGGAGCAGTTGGCAGTGCCGTTTAACTCCCCACAGTGTCAAAAAGCTGCAGAAGAGCCAGAGAATGTCACTCAGGAGACCAGAACCAATGAATGCCTGGTAGGAGGTCTGTTCTCTCTCCCCCCCACCCCCGTACAGACTGGTAGTGCTGGTTCTGGGGCTTCTTCTGCTAGCGTGTTATGTGCAGGGTGGAAAAAGAGAGGGGGAGAGAGAGAGGGAGGGAGGGGAGTGGGGGAAAAAATCAGAGACACTGACTGCCTGTCCCCATCTCTCTTTCTCTCTCTCTCTCCAACTCGCGCTCCCTCCCTCTGCAAACATTGGATTTAAACCTACTCAGAATTCAGCACGGAGGAAAGCAGCCAGCCAAGCCGCTCCAGACTATTGCAGCTCCCCCAAGATGTATCATCCCGCCTGCTGGATCGTCTTCACGGCCACAACTGCCCTGTTCTTCATCCCAGGTATGCCACAAGGAGGGACGGTGACAGGGGAATCCCTCTCGCTCCCGTATATCTCTAGGCAAGAAGATGGACCAGACGAGGAGGGTTGAAGAGGTGGGGTGGGGTGGGGGACGCGTTTTGCATGCCACAGCGATACAGACCTGATGATTTCGCCCAGATGTGCACATTATGATTATGATTAGTTAGGGGTGTCCCTCCCCCCGGTCACAGCACTAATGTGCCACGTTTTGGGATGTGCATGTAGAGGAGGTGATTGGGATCAGAACTGGCGCTTAGTCCTTCAGGGATCTTGCCACTGTTTCCTCACAGAGGGATGCTGTGCCGGCATCGGACAGCAGCTGCTCCTGCGTTGTGAATAGGAGATGGTACTTTCCCTGGGATTTGCATTATCTGCCCACAGTGTTTGTGTGTGTGCTTGTGCTTGCGTGCAATGGCTTTTTGGAGAAGTCTTTTACTCCCAATCCCAATCTTCTCCTCCTCCTCTTTCTTCTCCATCTCCTCTGGGCATCTTTCTTAGCAAATTGAGTAGGGGGTGGTGGATGGTGATGTTGGAGATGGTTTGGGAGTGTTTTCCCTCCCAGGCTCAGCACCGGTACCTCATTTCCACGTAAAGAAGTCCACTGCCCTTCTCTTGTTTTCAGATAGCAAAGCCCACTGGCTTTTATACAGTGATGGTGGTAGGAGTGAGGTTTCTTCTTCATCCCCCAAACTGACCAATGCACACACACACGCACACAGACACGCACACACACACACACACACACACACACACACACACACCAGCTGCTACTTGTTTGGGCATCAGCTACAGATGCTGCAGTGTTGGAAGCCAGACCAGGTGTTCTTGAGTTTTCTTATCCAGAAGGCATCATTGTCGCCTGCCACCATCACAGCGTTTACTGAAGACTTTAGGATCCCTCGGCTGCCTCTTGCTGCAAACCCCGGTCTGAATAGGTTTATTGTAATTCAAGCTCTAACTGGCTCTGGGCAGGAGCTCCGCAGACAGGCACTTAGTGTGGGGAGCTGAATACGCATCTGAACATCTGTCCCAATATAAAATAGAAGAGCAGGGTGGGAGGGATGGGGACCGATAGAGAAGGAGTTGTGCCTTATATGTGTTGCTGAGCTGTTGGGATTGTCAGAGTTCTGAACATGCAATGCCCTCGGAAACAGCTTCAGCAGTCTGTTACTCTGAAATATACACATATTTGAAATGCACAGCAGGAGTGTGTGTTGCACTGGGTGTTACAAGAGCATAGGCACAAAATCTATACCATATCAGTATTTTTGCAAACAGACTTTTCAGCACAAGCCTGACGGTAGTTTTCACTGTGGTGGGAGGCGGATTTGAGCCACAGCTAGGCTTGCATGGATTTACTATCCATGTGCATCACAGTTTCCATCAGAGGCTGGTTTGTGTAAAAACTTTATCCACATTCCAAGACCCCACAAGCTTTGGATGTAGGTGTGCAGGCGAAGAGCACAGGGACAGACATGCGTGTTGTATTTGGTATAATGCATTCTCATGCCAATAGTTTGAGGAAATGCATTTGGCACTTAAATTACAGAGGGGTGGGTGGGATGTTGGGGTGGACAGAGGGACAAAAGGCACAGAGCTCTCCACCTTCCAGTGCAAAGGCCACCTTCCACTCTTCAGTTTGGCCATGGTATACAGAAGTGGCTCTTGAATTCTAACCGGTGTGCATAATTCATCATGAGGTTGGGATTTGGTTTCAGTTTTGTGATAAACTACCATTCTTCTGGCATCTTGATAATGAACAACCACCTAACCAAAGAACGCTATTTCCAAAAAAGTCACTGAGGACACCGTATCTGGGTAATGTCAGAGTATGAAAGCTGAATGGGGAATTTTGTTTATTTTAATGAGAGCACACATTTCTTCTTGAGAAATTCAGTTTTAGGACAGTTGAGAAGTGTTTTTTTTAAAGAAGTCTTTTTATTTTAACAGCTTCAGATGTGATATGGGGAGGGAGGGGGCTTTATTAGCCTTGAGTGCAGAACTGAAGTCTCCTGGTTTCAGACTCCTTGAAGGGGATGTGAGATTAATGGAGCTCTAGCTACCTCTGAAACAGCATTTCCTGCATGACGTTTGTACACTGACCAATTTGCACCTCAGCACTTGAGATCCAACAACTCTCCTAAGCTGCATGTTGACCAATGTTTACTATCCAGGGTTGATTCAGTGCAGTACCTGGGAGACCATGAGAAAGAGCTGATGTAGTGTAAAAGCTGATATAAGCATGAGCTATGAAGCTGGAAAGTGATTGGGTCAAATTGCCATGAATTCACTAGTTGGCCTTAGGCGAGCTGTGATACTTCAGCCCTCCCTTCTGCAATATTGCTCCATGGATTACATTACTCTATTAACACACGTGAAGCTCTTTGGATACTTTCAAGCTAGTATTTCAAGTGAAGTGCTGTTGTGATCTTAGCTGGTGAATGTAAACTTGTGAATTTAGATTTATCCATAGGTCTCTTCATTAGCAGGGGAGCTGAATCTTAGAATATCTGGATTATCATTTCTGTAGGCTCTTCCTATGCATCACTTAAAAAAAAAAGCTCCAGGGGTAGGATATGGATTGTTGAGCAAGCGTATTCACTGTCCCACAGCTGACACAACTGTGGGGAAGGGCCATAGCTCAGTGGTAGACCATCTGCTTTGCATGTGGGAGGTCCCAGTTTCAATTCCTGGCATCTCCAAGTGAGGCTTGGAAAAGTCCCTACCTAAAACCCTGGAGAGCAACTGCCAATCAGTGTAAACTATGCTGAGTGAGATGGACCAATGGTCTGACTCAGGCAGCTTCTCATGCTTCTATGATCCTAACTTGTTTTGCCTGTGGTATTCCCACTAGATGCTCAGAGGTGGGTCCTTCTGGAGATCAGTTCCTGCCCACTCCCCGCCATATTTTGGGGGGCCCCCTTTGAGACTGAACTGTTTTGTAGGAGGGATTCAGTTGCATACTACCAAACTTAAGCCTCTGGCACCCTTGTACAACAACAAAACCAGCCTTTTTGTGGTAAGGAAAGCAATAGGGAAAATGCACTGCAAAACGTGGGGTAAAAAAGAAACGATGGAAGAGGTGCCAAGAAACCTCCACTTGTTGAGAAATCGGTATGAATACTTAATAAATTCAATGCTCAGTAAACAGCATACATTGTATAACATCCATGTAAACAAACCAGAATGAAAAAAAGTGGATGTTGTGTAACCTCCATGCAAGTTTTGTGCAAACAAATCAGAATTAACAAGTTGTTTAGATGTCCTCTTAATCATACCTGGATGTTTGTTTGAGATGAATGAAACAATGAAAAAAGAGGCTTATAAGATGTTTGGGGTGAAGGGAAACTGGAAGGTTCATGTTGAAAATACAATTGCCAAGTCATTATTAGTCTTAATGGCTTCACTGTGGTCCCTCCCTCTGATTCCTTGGTTTTTAATTATCTTCCTTTTCAGTTTGGATGGCGCTTTTAGTCCTCTTACTTCCCAGTAGGACCCCATATATTTTCTCCCTGCCAATTTACTTTTTGCAGAGTCTGAAGACCTGAAAGGTTAATGTAATAATGAAACCCTGACCTTGTCTGGTCACAGGAAGACTCTTACTCCATAGCTTTGTAAAGGCAGAGAGGTTTCCATCTTGGAATAATTTGAAGCTAATGCTTTCCTCCCTGGAGAGACTTTCAGAGAAAGAGGACTGCGTGCAGCCAATGGTTTTCCAGACAGAATCTCTGTGATGATGAGAAGGGCAATGGATGTTTTTTAAACTGAGTTAAAGAGCAGCAATAGAATTGGGAAGGTTCAGTTCATGTAGTCTCCAGTTAAGGCAGAGACAAAGAACCTGTAGCCTTACAGTTGTTTGGAGTCCAACATGATAAGAATTGTAGTTCAGCAACATCTGGAGAGCCACAAGAGAACATCTGGAGAGCCATCTGGAGAATCCTGTGTACCACCTTGAGTTCCCTGAAGAAAAAGGTGAGATATAAATGCAAGCAGCAGCAGCAGCACAAAATGAAACAGTAACAAACTTGATAGGTCTCTGCTTCAAGGTGCATTCAATCCAAATGTCAAAGGGAGGAAAAGGAGTGAAGATAGCAAGGTAGCAAGAAGAAAAATGTGAGGACGTGAAGATCAGCCCATATAATCACAGAATTGTAGAGTTGGAAGAGACCCCAAAGGTCATCTAGTCCAGCCCCCTGCAATGTAGAATGAAACCGTTTTCTTCTGAAGCCAATGGCATTGCTTCCCATTCCCAAATATGCCCCCCTGAACCTACTGGAAGACTGTCTAGAAAAATAATACGCCTTGGCCTCTAGGCAGGTTAGTGTGTTCCCTGTTAAACTTGGCTCAGTGCAAGGATGTTGGTCAGAAACAAGTCTATAGATCTGAAAGTCTATAAGCTGTGAAGATTGCCTTGTTTGCAGAACTGTATTTGAACCTGTATTCCAAAGGCTTAAAGGAACCAAGAGGGAAAGAGCTCATCCATGTTGATTGTATCTTCTGTTGCTAAGATATGACACCAGAAACGGATCTGCTATTTCTGTGCATGTGTTGCTAGCTTCTCCATGCCCAAACCTTTGTTCCAAAAAGGGTTTAACCTGTCCCTTTTCTGGGAGCTTGAGTAGAGTTCTGCTGCCTTAGTGATTCCCTCTTTTTTGGGCCCCAAAAGTTTTCATTAGTTTCTTGTCTTGCTCCACAAGTTTTACATTGGCCTCTAAATGATATCTTTTTCTTGTCTTCTTTTCCCCACTTCTTTGCTCTCCCCAGCAATTCTGTCCCCTCCTCTAAATGGGGAGGGCATTTTTGCCACACCCTCTCCCCTCTGGAATAAGAGGAGATATAGTTTCTCACAAAGGGAGGTATGTGGATCTTCATGTTGGTCATATAGGGGGGAAATGGCAGCCCAGTTATTTAAACTGGCTCCATCCCTCATTCTTCATTCTTCTTCTGGTAATGCCCACCTTCTTGGCCTTGGCAATGTGGGCTCTGCGAGTCATCCTTTTTGGGGGTACTGAGTAGGAATTTGAGGGGAGACATTGCTTAGTTTGGGGGTCTTCTCTTTTTTGCCTATTTTGCACTGTTGGATGTTGCCCATGTGACTGGAGAATCTGGCTAAGAGGAATTTCACCAGGGCAGGTGAGAGAACATAAGAAATTATTGAGGGCTTGGCCTAGCAGGGGCATCGAGGTGAATGTTAGCCAATGTGGCCTCAGTAAGCATGTCAGGTTCTTACACCCAAGGTGCATGCAGCAAGGTGGAGGACGATTTTCTTTTAAAACCAAACCTCGCTTTGTGACTACAACATGCAGCTGGAAGTTTGCTCAGGAAACGGGAGTGATGATATCCTCCCATTTATTGCAACCCACCTGCCCAAATGTGTTTAATTGGGTTAATTATTCAATTTCATTGATTTGCAGATTCTCTCATTGTTTTATTTTAATAAATGTAACCTGTTCACCCATATTATAGTTTGTACTGAGTCTTCTTTCTGGTGTGATGGCAAGGAATTCATTGCGTGCTGCTCCCAGATCCCAGTACAAGCAATTGTGCATGGATAGGATACTCAAGAAAGGATACTTGGTGTCACTTGAAACATTGTCAAGAGAATCAAGTGGTAGAGGCAGAAGACTAAAGAAGATAGAAGGCGTGTGTGTGTGTGTGTGTGTGTGTGAGAGAGAGAGAGAGAGAGAGAGAGAGAGAGAGAGAGTCCTGATTTGCACATCACTTTAAACCAAAATAAAACTAAACTGTGGTTTAAATGTGAGCACAGTGCATCCCAGCATGCTGATGAAATGACTTGGCTCCTCCCCTGCTTCTACTAACCTGCTTGGGAAATAAGCCATGGTCTATTACACCTAAACCTGGGCTTCTACTTGGCTTCTCTACAAACAAGCATTAACCACATTTTGTGGTTACCGCTGATGCTTTGTTTTGGGTGGAAACCAACCATGAGTCTGAGGATGGATCTAGGCACATCAAAGGAACAATTCAGTTAAATGCGTTGTAAACTCATACAGGGAAATCTGGTAGGGAAATACAGGACTCCACAGTGCTATCTGGTGTTACTGTGTTATATCACATATAGAACACATACAAAATGTTTTTTCCTTACCAATCTAGCTGAGTCCTGAATTGGGACATAACACTAAGCCAGACCATGGCATGGTTCCTCGCAGTGTGCAAGAGCAGGATAAGAGAGAAGGTCCCACAATTTCAGCAGTTTACACTAGCACACTGTACATTCACATTTTAACCATGGTGTGGTTTAACTATGGTTACTTTAAACTGATAGGCAAACTGAGCCTATATGTGAGATCTCTCTCTCTCTCTGTATACACACACAAACCTATGGCTTGTAATCTTGAAAGTCATTTGATTGGCCCTTAGGAAGAGTGATCAGCCGAAGCCCAATAGCAGCAGGTAGGATGGCCAGTTTGGCATTGTGAAGAAAGAGGATTTGCACCACCGAGAAAGAAGATGAAAAGGAGAGAAATCAGCATAAAATTTACAAATGGTACCTGATACGCATAAGTGCAAATTTAGAAATAATGAGTATAATTTAAATAGAAATACGTCTCACCTTAGTGGGGGAGGCACCAGATGACTTTCATTCCCATTCAGTCTGCTGACCAGTTGCTGCTACCAGCTCTTTCTTACCTTTAAACCAGTTGGGCAGCTCTGGAACAGAGGACACCTTCAAACAGAGGTCTGTATTCTGGCAGTTATTCAAAATAGAGGACTGTACTCTGCAAAGCAGGAAACACAGCCACTCTAGTGGTGGGGAACAGGAGGAATTACTTGCCTCCTGACTGTTAGGCAGGAGCAGGACTTGCAAAGGGTCCTGTCCCCATCACTTGACCAGAGTGGGGGCAATTTTAGGCCCAAGCCTCACAGCGGAAGGCCTGTGGCTCAGTGGGAGAGCATTTGTTTTGCATGCAAATGTCCCCGGTTCAGTTTTATGCCAATGGGCCTTTGAAGCTGTTTAATTAGCCAGTCACAGTGATGCACATTTGAATTGTTTTTAAATTGAATTTTAAATTGAATTGTTTTTGAATTTAATTGTGTGTGTGTGTGTGTGTGTGTGTGTGTGTACACACACACTGCTGTACACCACCTTGAAATTTTATGTTATGGCTTTGTAGACATACTTGTACAACGGGATATAAATGAATGAATCCCTGGCACCTCCAGGTAGGGCTGCAAGCATTCCTATCTGAAACCCTGGAGAACTGCTGCCTGTCAGTGTAGACAGTACTGAGCTAAATGAATCGATTGACTTATTGGGTACTAGACAGCTTCCTCTGCACAACACAAGCCTGAGAATAAATCACTGGTATCCTCCTCCCTCTGGTTCTGCCACAAAGGAGGAAGGGGGTGCGCCTTTAATTTGTGATGACATTCAAACAAGCACACCTTTCCATCTGTGTAACCTGACGTGGGCACAGCCCAGGAGAAGCTTCGGTTGATTGCATAAAGTGGTCTTTAGGCAATTGTTAAATGGTTTTGATGGAGCACAGTCCCTAAAGGGAGATGGAGGCAGTCCCTAAAGTAGATGTGGAGGATCCAAGCGGGCTCAGCACTTTGTAGGTCAAAGCCAGCCTTGAATCCTGTGAGAATCCACCCTGTGCCTTTCAAGAGGATTTCTGCTTCGTCTTCAGTGTCTAGGGGCATGTGTGCTCCTGGAACAAACAGAAGGGAATGCCCC